TTTGTGTTTTATTTGTGCTGATAAATAAATAAAGGGAGACTAGTATAGATCTATTTCAAGCTATTTAGCTCTCATCAGCTAGCCATACCCTTACTGGGATTCGATCCTGTGCTGAATTGAGAGAGCTGATGAGAGCTAAATAGCTTGAAATAGATCTATACTAGTCTCCCTTTATTTATTTATCAGCACAAATAAAACACAAATATAACAAAGGCAACAGTAAAAATATTGGGTTTCTGTCGTGATGGAGTCTCTTTTTCTTTTCTTTTTTTTTCTTTTGGCCACTTGGAGTCACTATCTCCTCATTGGTTGCACCGTCTCCAGAGTCTGGAGAGAAGAACTGCTTGACTCCAGAGATTACAGAAGATCCTGTAGGTGAAGTTGACCTTCACCTCCTCCCGGTCCACCAAGCATTTAAACTATTTTGGTTTTTAGCCAACGGGCAGTCTGGAGGTTCCCAGGGAAATTACTCTTTATTCAGACCGTGCGAAGGCGCAGAGTTACCTCTAGTGTACTTTCACTTAACTTGGTTTCTTTTGCTGGCATTTTGGGGGGGAAGTTGGAGGGGGGGGGTAGATGCCACAGATCTTTAGCCCCATCCAGAAAAAAACTTCATTTCTGTACCAGAAATATAAAAATGTTGGCACTCTTGCTGAGAAATAATCTGGCGTTTAATTCCTTAACCAACTTGAAATGGCTATAATTATTGTAAATACCTGCTAGGTGTTTCATGCCTTTTGCTGCGTATGTTTTGCTGATAACGTACTTGGGACGGCTGCTGCTGCTTTGGAAAGAGCTTATGTGCAGTTTTTAATAATCGCTCTTGGTGCTTACTAAGAGGGTTTTTAACTAGCAGTGGCCAGGATTTGAATCAGAAGGAAGAATCCTAGACCACTTTAGGAAGATTCCAGGTTCCTTCCTTATTCCCCTATGCTGAAAAGTTTGCCTTGCCTTTCTGATACAGCAGTGTTTCTCAAGCTTGGCAATTTTAAGTCTTGTGGACTTCAACTCCCAGAATCCCCCAGCCACTGGCTGGGGAATTCTGGGAGTTGAAGTCCACAAGACTTAAAGTTGCCAAGCTTGAGAAACACTGTGATATAACTTGATTGGCTGTAAAGAAGTGTGGCAGAGAAAATTAGAGGGCATAGTTACAATGGCAGATTCAAAAGGAGGTGAAATAAAAGAATTAAAAGACGTGTATGGGAGACAACCAAAAAGAAGAAGATTTAAAATTTGGATGAGGGTGAAAGATGTGGGATGAAGGGAAAGGAAAGGAATGTAAAGCAACATTTTATGAAAATACCTTATAATGTGTATGAATATTAGAACTATATAAGTTGGATAACTGCTCTGTATGTGGTGTGAGACAACAATCATTTTTGAATATATATTAGTGAGGTAGTAATGTAATGTATATTATTAGAATTATAGAGACTGAGAAATAGTTGTAAATTAGATAAACAGAATTTGTATAAGGGTATTATTAAATATGTATAAAAATGTGATTAACAGTGAAAAGCTAGGATTAATTAATTTGATAAATGCTTGAATAAATTAATGCTAAAAGTGCATATTGAAATATTGACTAATGATAGAGGAAGGGAGGAAAGCGGGGGCAAAATAGAGGTAGAAATAAGAAGGGGAAAATAGCAAAAACAAATGTTAAGATGATACAGTGTATGGTACAACTATGAGAAGGTTTAGAATTGAAAGATGATAGTAGAAATTACATGTTAGTAAAACTGAAAATGAAATGTAATTACTAGAAATAATACTGTTATGTTTATTGGTATTGAACTGTATGACACCCAGGAATCAAACCATTTGCACAATGAGATGTATAAAATAAAAGAAATCTTTATTAATAAAAAAAGAAGCTTGGCAGTGCAGTATAGATTTCCTTAGTAGGCTCTCTTTGCTGAACAATGGTAGATTTAACAGGTCAGTTGGCCTCAGGGAAGATCCATGCCTCTCCTGTTGGCGTACAGACAGCGGGATTTGGAAAGCTCGTAAGAAGATGCATTTTCAAGAGGATTAAGTGTAACGTAAAAGGCTCCCATTGGGAACAATTCAGGGTTCAAGTGCCATCCTTTTTAAACTCCTGAATGATGGTCAAGGGGTAACGATGCAGTGAAGGTCATTCTGAATTTGGTTTCAGATTGCCACGGAATCCTTACTTTAGTTACCTCTTAACCGGGGGTCGGGGGTACTGCCGGAGTTACTGCTGGTTCGCAACCCATGCATGCACAGTTCACTGTAAACTGTGCACACGCAGTCACTAAAATCCCAAATGGTGGCAGCAAGGGAACCGGTTCAGAGGTTTGGCAGCCCTGGGTCGCTGCCAGTTCTGCGACCCAGGCCTGAATTCCGCTACCGGTTTGGCCAAACTGGGCTAAACAGGCAGCGACCCACCTCTGTTGCTAGTTCAAAGATGTGAAATTCAAGGGCTGGATCTGGCCCACAGGGCTGCTCTGGAAACAGCAAAGGACCGGCCCGCAGTCCCTCTGTCAGTGAAAACTGAGCTCAGGAGGGTCATGTGCGATGCTCCCGGGCCCTGTTTTCGGCTGTGATGGCCTCCTGCAACCTCTGCCAGCAGAAAAGCTCGGGAGGTCTGTTTTCGCTGGCAGAGAGCTGCAAAAGGCCGTCACGGCTGAAAACGGGGCCCAGGGGTGCTGCAGACGACACTCCACACACCCCCGGTGTTCACTGGCAAAGGGCTAGCAAAAAAAAAAAAATGAAACAAAAGGAGGAATGCTTCTGCTTTTGCATTTGAGTAAGAAGGGGCAGGAAAGGAGAAAGGTAAAGAGGAAAGACAAAGAAAAAGAAGGAAATATGGGACGAGAGCAAGGAAGAAAAAATAAGGAAAGGAGAAGGAAGAAGGAAGGAAAAGAAGAGGGAAGGAAGAAAAAGGGAAAGCAGGAAGGAAGGAGATTATAATGAGAGTATTAGAAATGGAGATGAGCACCGCCCCCTAGAGTTGGGAACAACTAACACATATTTGCGAGGGGAACCTTTACCATTAATCATGTGTTTGCCTACAATCTTTTCTCCTCCAAAGATTAGAAAAGTTTCAGCTTCATGTTTATTCCCCAGTTCTCTCAAGGCAAAAAAAATAAATAAAGCAAAACAAACTTGAATACAAAGATCTTTTTTTTCTTTGTCTCCCAGAGTTATGAAATGGAACGAAAAAATCGGTCGGAGACTGAAGTGCGATGTCAGCGCTTAACCATTGAACTGGCTGATACAAAGCAAATGATTCAGCAAGGTGACTACAGACAGGAGAACTATGATAAAATAAAAAGGTAAGTTTTTATCACCAGTCATAAACAGGACTTTCAGGCTCTCCGTGGCATTTGATAGACCTGTCTTCATACCCCTTTTCCCTTTTAATCTCCAAAACGATCTAACTTTTGGTTGATCAAGCATCTATCTTTTCACACGTTAAAG